GCCTTCCCGAGCCAAAACGGGCCGAGCCGAGTCGGCTCGTTTTTTCCCACTTTTTTTTCCTTAAAAGGTAGTTGATAGCTGCCTTTACAAAGCATTTTTTCAAGAATGCATTTTTTTTAAAACTCATTTTTAACCACACATTCTTCTATAAAATAATTATACACGAATTTCAAAAAAAATTTCTTACTTTTTAACTACACATTCTCCAGAAAACTACTATTCCATAATTCATTTTTATCCCAAAAATGGGAATCAAACAGGGGCTAAGTCAAAGACATTTAATTATAGGCCGTTTAAGAATTCATTTAATGCAATTTACATGCTCTTAGTTTATCAATATAAGTTGATTGAATGGGTGTATCCACAGATGTTAGTACCAGGTCATTTCCCAGACATGTTAAACTCGTAATATCATTATGTCTGCAAAGTTTAGGTTGGGGAAGTTAGATCAGTTTCACGGATTACTTGATGAAATGGGGAATGGATTTTCCCCTGATTTTCATACATTTAATCTCCTACTCCATGTTCTCGGTAAAGGTGACAAGCCTCTGGCAGCAATTAATCTTTTTGAATCTCATGAAAGTAAGTTGGAACTAAGCTGTTGCCTTTTAACTTCACGCCGGAGCCTCGAGCCGAGCCGGCTCGAGCTTTTTGCGGGCCGAGTCACGGGCGGCCCGAGCTTTCGAGCCTTTTTGCCATCCCTAGGTGGAGAAGAGATGGATATTTTCTTATTTTAATATTCTTTTTTTATTTTTTGTATTTTTTTTATCATTAAAATATAAAATAGAGGTTAAGTGGACGACACTTTACTTGATGGAAGAGACTTGCTCATTTAAGGGCCCATTTGGTAGGGATTTTGAGAATTGATTTTTTGACCGTTAGAAGAAAAGTGGGGTCCACACGTGAGAGAAGAAGTCAAAAATTACGATTTGAATAGTTAAATAACGGTCAAAAAATCCCTACCAAACGGGGCCTAAAGAAAAAATTGAACAGAGCAAAATGATATGGGCGATTTGTGCAAATAAATATTGATCTCGAGGTGAAAATATAAAATTTGAACGATAGGATGATTTGTAAAAGAGTGACGTAACAAAGATTGTGTGCCAATCATCCAAAATATAAAGGGCATCCTTGGTCAACATCGATGATGGATTCTTGCACCATATCTCCTGTCCAATGAATCTTCGGAAAGTACCCACTAGTATCGTACCGTATCGACACCATTTTTTTATTCCAAAAATCTGAATCCTTGCCGGGAATTGAAGACCAAGAAAATGTCAGTGCAACTTACAATTGTCAACAATTTTCATGCGTTGAATGAGGCTAAAAATGCGACCAAAAAATTTTGACCAGAGCCCATCAGTCTGCAAATCTTCCAACTTCTACCTTGCCTGTATCGCCCCTCTCTGTAAACTTCCCCCCTGATTCTTCATTTGCATTATTGTGCCCCTCGATATACACATATTTGCTGCATGTTTATAGACTCTCCCTTCTGTGTATCAGCAACTTCCATTAATCTGGTTTGATTATCGACCGGTATTATTATTAGTTGATCCATTCTCCCACAACCTATATACACACACAATACACGATCTATACTAGATACATTTAAATTGAGTTTGTTATTAGCATTTGAACTGTTTTATGAATTTAATCTGAAAGTTGGTTTGTTTAGTTATAGTTGATTTTTTATCAGGGTTGGAGTCTTTTTCAAATTGGAAGAAGAACTTTGATAGGTCGTGTTCTCTGATTCGGGTTTTGTCTTATTTGTATGTTTGCAATGTCTTGGTATTTGATGGAAACTTGTTTATAATTTGGTGGAACTTTGATGTTCTCTGTCTTGAAGCATCACTTTATAAATTAGAAAATTGTGCCTATTGCATTCATTTGCTCTGTCAATTTGGAGCTTGATTTTTTGAAGAATTTCTTGAATTCGACTTTACAGGTGATTGTGGAGACTGATACTGCTTGATCAGAGCACTATTGAACCTCAAATGAGCATATTGAGTTATTCTATGACAAATTAGGCTCAAACTACAATTCTTTGACTCGGCTAGCTGGGAAGTGTATGAGTTGCGTGGAGCTTCGTAATTGAGGATTCCTCCATTAAGTTTTGGCCTTGATAGATGCAATATTTTTGCTGTATTTCGCTGAAAATGGCATTAGTTTTATTAAGTCTACTGTTGTTGGTGCAATCACCAAGAATATCTGCATCTGGGTTGTTGCAACATAGAAAAGCCTGTGGAACATATCACATTAGCTACTTGGGTAATCCTGATCGGGAATTGTTCTATATTGATGGAAATTTGGTAGAAAAATATTTATTCTGCAAGGCTCTCAGAATATATCACGAGAACCATTGCTTGGTCACAAGAAATATCGGAAATCAGTATTGTGGATTGGAATTTTCATTAGGTTTGCCCAATCGAGCTATTTCTTTTCATACCTTCTGCTTTCTGTTAATATATCTCCTTATGAGATGCACACTGGGAAAAGATTTCGATATTTTGTAAACATTTAGATTGCATATATATATGTATTTTTTTTTTTTTTTTACTAATAAGTAGTGGTTTATCTACCATAATGCAGATAAGTTGCCTTTGGAGGTGGGAAGAAAATTTTTACGAAATGTGGTTCGAGAAGGATCTACAGGGCACGATTTTGATAAAACATCTCAGTTGAAAAGGGATAAATATGCTAATAACCCAATATTAACCCCCAAAATTATGGCAATGGCAGCACCAGCTTTCTTTGTTTTATGTTGTGCCTTTCTTTGCCCTTGCTTTCAAGCAAGAAAGAGGGAACTTGGCCATACTATTCTGTCCAAGGAGCCAAATTCAAGTGAGTAACATTAGTGGATAAGTTGGTGTAGACACACATACTTCTCATATGAAGTCCGCTTTCTTATATTTATAATTTAGATATATTTTCATCATGCAAGTCCTTTGGCTTACCCATGCATAGTCAATATAGAAGAATTAGTATATTTATGCTCACACATTTAGTCCTGCTAGTTGTATGTGAATATTTACGATCTACTGCACTATTCTTGCAGTGGATTCAATTTCGTCTTTAGAAATGAGTTCTGTTTCTGAGAAGATTCCAGCCAGTCCACTGCGAGTGCCGCCTAGTCCTTCAAGATTTTCCATGTCGCCAAAACTTAATAAGGTTGGAAATGTTCATCTTTCTATGAGCCAAGTTGCCAGAGCAACACATAATTTCGCGCAATCGCAAATAATAGGCGAAGGAGGGTTCGGAGCTGTCTATAAGGCCAAGCTACCAGACGGCCTCGTCGTTGCCATCAAACGGGCAAAAAAGGTATACTTCTGATTCTTTTTCTAAACTTTGAGTTTGCAGCTTCTGAAATAATTTCTCATAACATTGTTTTTCCAAAGGCATGGTGAGCCAATATTATTGCTTAATGATTAACGAGAAAAAAAGGAAGTGACAATGATGTTATTTAGAAGGGTTAAGGCCCATTGGGTTTAATGTGTGAATGGTTCCAACAAGATTGAAAGACTAATTCAATGGCAAGAAGAACAGCAACTATATATGAGAATGGATGCTGGGCTATCAATATGAAGTTGAGTGTGGTTAAACTTGAGCATTGTAATAAATTTAACTTCAATGATTTTTCCCCTTTTTTTTTTTATATATTTTGCAAACAATTAGTAGCAATTATTTTATTATTTAACTGTGGAATTTTTTTATATATTTTGCATACAATTAGTAGCAATTATTTTATTATTTAACTGTGGAATCTAATTGTAAGAAGCCTGAATTCTCATTTCATTTACTTAAGAACGTGAATGAGAACTTGAAAACATTACCATTGAGCTTTCACTCTCTGAATATGGGAATTTTAGAATTGTGATTTCAATAATTAACATAGACGTTTTGGACATTAACAATTGTTATAAAGAATGATTGTTCATTCACTTTATTGAACATTCTACAAGAAGATTTTGCTCTGTTATGTGAGAACCAAGAGTGATGCAAGATCTGAAAATGTACTTAGTTTTTACATTTTATGTGTTATTTGTAGATATTTTCACTATAATTCTAAGCTAAAAGAGATCTATGTTGGGGTCCACCAGTTGCATAGAAAATGAAGAATGGGAACTGAATTTTGGAGTCTTGAATTCATTTAAATGTTTAGGCTAAAAATAATAATGCCACAAGGTTTAACAAAGTTTTATGCTGGTTGTCTTTATACTGCAGCCCTCCTCTTTAACCCGAGCTTGAGACCGGCTAAAAATAATGTGTAGAAAGAATTTAGAGGTCCCTCCAAGGTAAAAGGAAGTGTAGCTGTGTTAACTCACTTCTGGTTTCTGTAATAAAATGAAATGATCAAATTGGAATTGCAGAGAAAATCAAAGTGGAACTGGGGTAGACAATTTTCTTCTAAAGAGACGAATTAAGCCAGTTTCTTTATTCAAACTCTTCCCTTTTTCTTTTTGCAACATATAATTCGGTAAATGATGTTTAATTGTTGGGGAAAAAAAGAAGGAACACTTTGAAGCATTGCGGACTGAATTTAAGAGTGAAGTTGAACTTCTGGCTAAAATTGATCATCGGAATCTCGTCAAGCTGCTTGGTTATGTTGATAATGGAGATGAGCGTCTGATTATTACAGAGTATGTGCCAAATGGTACACTTAGAGAACATCTAGATGGTATATCTCTTAAAACCCTTGAAACCTCACAAATATTATAGTCAGGCGAGTATAATTGCAATATTTTGGCTGATTTCCTTTGTAGGACGGAAGGGAAAGATATTGGATTTCTGTCAGAGACTTGAAATATCTATTGATGTTGCTCATGGCCTAACCTATCTCCATCAATATGCAGGTGATAGCTCTTTCTGTAGAGTTTATTTTGCTTCCGTAAATTTTTATCACGAAGATCAACTTCTATCATGAAACTGAAAACTACTGATGCTCTATGCACCAATACCATTTTATTACCTAGAGAACTACAATTAGGGCCTTGATCCTTAAAGTGCTGTTTTGAATCATGAATTTACTCCCTGATTTTCAATGATGTGCATTATAACATTATCTAGACTTTGGCTAAGCTTAAAAGAGAAAAATGTTTTTTTTGATAGGTAATCAAATAATTTTATTACTTAAAAGAGAATATACGAGGGGTCTACAATCACTTTAAGCCATTAAGGAATAACATGAAATTAGGCAACCCATCTACAGGATTTCTAACCACAGCATTAAACCAAGAATACAAGATAAAGTAAAATGTTTCTCTTATCTACTCTCATGTCTTTGTTTGGTCTTCGAAGAAACGGTTGTTCCTTTCTCTCCACACACACCATACAATGCAGCCCGAGATAAGGTGCCATGCTAGTTTGCTATCCTTATCACGAAATTTTCTCCGCCATGCTCACTTTAAGCCATTAAGGAATAACATGAAATTAGGCAACCCATCTACAGGATTTCTAACCACAGCATTAAACCAAGAATACAAGGTAAAGTAAAATGTTTCTCTTATCTACTCTCATGTCTTTGTTTGGTCTTCGAAGCAACGGTTGTTCCTTTCTCTCCACACACACCATACAATGCAGCCCGAGATAAGGTGCCATGCTAGTTTGCTATCCTTATCACGAAATTTTCTCCGCCATGCCCGTATCACGTCCTCTATACGACGAGGCATCACCCAATCCATAAATTGAGAACTAAGTATACTATTCCAAATCCAACGTACAACATCACATATATGAACAAATGATCGATCGTCTCCCCATCCTTCTTGCACATATAATACCACTCGGTTGCGTAAAAGTCTTTACGTCGAAGATTATTCACCGTTGAGACCTGTTCCCTCACAACTGTCCACAATAGGAATGCCACCCGAGGAGGCAATTTATACTGCCACACCAACTTCTAGGGGAATGAATTATTCACACATCACATGAGGGAATTAAAGTACGAGCGAACTGAAAAAATGTCATCCTGTGCTGTTCTCCACCTGATGCAATCCCTCTCTCCAACCCGAATTTGTGCCTCATGTAAAAAGGTCATAAACAGCGAATAATCTTCCAATTCCCAATCCTGAAGATCCTTCCCAAAAGTAATATTCCAACTATAGCTCCCATTATGAATGTCTAAGAGATCACTTACCATAGCAGTGGACACTGAGGCAATGCGATGCAAGGAAGGAATCTCTCCTTCAACGGTTGATCTCCACACCAACAATCATCCCAGAATTTAATCTCATTACCATTTCCGACCATAAACTTCAGTTTGTCCAAAAAAGCACTCCATCCCCGTCGGATATACCTCCACAAACTCACCCCATAAGAACCATGATCCTCAAATGTACACCATCTCCCCTCCGTCACACCATACTTCACCCCAATTATCTCTCTCCAGAAGCTTTCCCTCTCCACTCCAAATCGCCACAACCACTTGTCTAATAAGGCCTTATTGAACAACACAAAGCTCCTCACCCCAAGACCCTCCATCCTCATCGGCAAACAAACAACTCCCCAATTGACCAAATGGAGTCTCCTCTCCTCCCCCAACCCTGCCCACAGAAATTCTCTTTGAAGTCTCTCTAATCTCTTTGCCACTGCAATCGGAATGGGGAACAATGACAAAAAATAAGTAGGGAGATTGGAGAGAGTGGCTTTAATGAGAGTAAGTCTACCTCCCTTAGAAAAGTACATACACTTCCACCCTGCTAACCTTCTCTCCATCCTTTTCACAATACCATTCCAGATATGGGTACTTTTAAATCGTGCCCCTAACGGGAGTCCTAGATATGATATCGGCAACTGCGCAACCTTACAACCCAATATATCAGCCAGCTCCTCAACATTATTGACCTCTCCAACTGGAATAGCCTCAGAATTTCCCAAATTGATTTTCAAATCAGACACCGCTTCAAAACATAAGAGCAGACGGCGTAAGTTACTGAATTGTTCAACATCTGCATCGCATAAGATCAACGTGTCATCTGCAAATAACAGATGGGACACCTACAGTTGGTCAATCATAAAACCCCTTATCAAACCCGCTCTCACGGCTCTTTCAATCATCGTACTGAAGGCCTCCATCACAATGACAAATAACAATGGGAACAATGGATCCCCTTGTCTCGGAAATAACCCTCAGGTGTTCCGTTGACCAAAACTGAGAATGAAACAGTAGAAACACAGAATTGAATCCATTTACACCATTTATCCCCAAAGCCACAGCGCCTGAGCATATACAACAAGAATCCCCAATTTACATGATCGTAAGCCTTCTGAATATTTAGCTTACAAAGCATCCCTGGGGCACTTAGGCACATTCTTGAATCTATGCATTCATTCGCTATAAGCACAGAGTCCAAAATCTGACGCCCTTTTACAAATGCATTCTGAAACTTGGTCACTATTTTTCCCAGCACTTCCTTTAATTTGTTTGCCAGGACTTTTGAAATAATCTTATACACCCCGCTGACAAGGCTAATGGGGCGAAAGTCCTTGATATCAGTCGCTCCCGATTTCTTAGGGATGAGCACAATAAATGTGGCGTTAGAACTTCTCTGGAATCTGCCACATTCAAAAAAATAAGATAAAGTATTCACAATGTCCGGTCGAACCACATCCCAACACGCCTTGTAGAATGAGAATGAGAAACCGTCTGGTCCCGGAGCCTTATCATCGTTCATACTGAATACTACCTCCTTAATTTCATCCTCCCCAAATGGTCTCTCCATCCATCGGGCATCATCCTCAGTGATTGTAGAAAAGTGCAGTCCCTTCAATTTTGGCCTCCATTCAAATTGTTCCCGATAGAGGTTCTGATAAAAATTCACCAGTTGGCTTCCAATTTCCTTTGGTTCCTCATAAGTAACCCCGTTCACCTCCAAAATTGTGATGGAGTTGTTCCTCCTATTAGAATTGACGACCCTATGAAAGAACTTAGTGCATTTATCCTCCTCTTTCAACCAAGTAACTCTAGGTTTCTGTCGCCAAGTAATCTTCTCCATCTCCACCAATCTCTCCATCTCTTCCTTTAATACTCTATGTCTCTCCTTCTCCTCCCTAGCCAACCCTTGACTCTCCTCCCATCTATCCAACTCCTCTATCTCTGACAGACACTGATTTTTACTGCAGTTAACATTGCCCACAACTTCCTCATTCCATTTCTTTAAGTCCCCTTTCAACGCCTTTAGTTTCTGATCCAATACAAAACATGGAGACCCACTGACTTCATAGGAAGTCCACCACGTCTGTACTCGCTCCCTAAATCCTTCTACTTTCAACCACATTTTCTCAAACCTGAAAGGTCTTCTTCCACCACCCCTTCTATTCCCCGATAGCATAATAGGAAAATGATCCGAGTACACCCTCCCCAATCTTCTCTGAGTGTCATCTGAATATTTAGACTCTCACTCCCCACAAATCAAGAACCTATCAATACGAGACAAAACGGGTCGATCCCGATTGGATGACCAGGTAAAATCTCCCCCAATCATGGGTAAATCCACCAACAAATTCTCCCTAATAAAATTTGAGAACTCCTCCATTGCCCTAGTTAGTCTCCCACCACTCGACCTCTCCGAAGGAAATCGAATCACATTGAAATCACCCCCAATAGATGTAGGGAGATTCCACCAAGCCCTCATTCCAGCCGTTCATCCCACAAGCCCACTCTACTGTCATCTGAATTAGGCCCGTAAACTCCTGTGAACATCCACTGAAATCCATCCTCGCAATTTTTGAAAGAAATCGCTATAGAGAACACCCCTATACTCACCTCCTTCATCTCAAGCACTCTAGTGTCCCACATCACCAACACGCCTCCTGAAACCCCTGATAACCCCAAAAACTGATATCCTACATGATTCCCCCCCCTTCCCCCAATAAACTACGAATCACCGCCCTCGAGATAAACTCCATCTTAGTTTCTTGTAGGCAAACAAGATTTGCCCCCCATCCCCTTAGCAAATGTCGAACACCAAGCCTTTTACTAACCTCATTGAGCCTCCTTACGTTCCAGCTAATGAGTTTTGGCATCATTGTAACACTCCGTAACCCCTCCCCATTGTTCCTTTCTTGGACTCGCCACCCTTCCAGCATAGTTTACTGACCATTTGAGCCTCTTAAGTTCGCGATCACCCTTTCTTCTTAATTTACTTCCATGTATACTGATGTCTTGTCTCCTATTAGCCTCAGCTCCTCGAATAATTGTAACAATCTATTTTCATACCCATCACATGACACGCCAACCAACTTACTGAATTCCTGAATTTTTTATAGAACCCAGTTCGAAGGTGGGTGACCAACTTCTAACACATCAGCTTCTGAAGTATCCTCACCCTGATAACCCACGAGATGATCAAAGGACCGTTCTTTCTCTTCCACCACTGGTATAATGTCACTGTCGCTTTCTCCTTTCTTGGCACCATCTACCCATATCTTTTGTCCTCCTATTATAAGTGTTCGTAATTCTTGATGTCGAATGTGTAGCGTTGTTTTCTTTCACAATGTTCATTGTCAATTTCTCCAAGTTCACCATACTAAACTCCCCTTCCTTAGACAGTGGTTCCACCTCTCGTTCAGCTGCAATCCCCATGTCTACTTCATTCCGGTTGACCCCCACAAAGTCAACCCTGTTATCATTTTTATGGTATCCCGCTTCCATCCTCTCCTGAGAATCACAATATTCATCTCCTCCCTGCTTTTCATGTTCTGTAATTGATGATAGTTCCTTATGAGTCAATCCCGGTACGTGTATTTCACCAGTTTGATCCTCATCCAACTCAACCCCACACTTGCGATAGCGTACCAATTTCATGGGCTCCATTTCAGGCCCGCTTCCAACCAGCCTAAGTAATTCATCCAATGTTCCTTTCAACTCCTGGGCACGGGTCATTATTTCAGCCCTACTCAAATAAATGTCGTGACCTTCGTTATCACCGACTTTATTTGTCCTTTCATTTTGCTGTAGCATCCGTTGGTTGGCATTCTCCGAGGTCTGAGAGTTTGCTATAATTTCTGCATAAGTCATCCTTCGTTTGTTTCGTTCATTCACCGTTTGTCGTTTGGCCTTATCCCTAGCAACAAATGAGGCAACAACTGCTTGAAACACCTGTAAGACCGACTTCCATCCCTCTCCATTTGCACCTTCTGGTATCATGACAACTCCTTTTCGACGCCTCTCCCCATATTGTGCTATCATCAAATATCTACCTCAACGGTTCACACACCGTTGTGCTAAGAAAACTATTGAAGACTCGTTAAATTTAAAAACACAGTCCTCAAATTCACTTCTCCTCAATCTGTCTACCATATTCACTATCCAAATAGAACCATACCTTCCCATAAAGATTGAATACGAAAACTTTGAACCCCATCCTGTCAACTTAACAGTGCCAGAATCATTAATAGATACTGCGAAGTCCTTCGCCTCCACTCTGAAACGATGATTGAATACCATACTACGCACATCCACCAATTTTTCCCCCTAATTGTGTACAAGCAGTTCATCAAACGGAGGAACGGACAAGCCGATTGTTCTTGGAGCAGCAGGCTGCCGCTACAGGTTTCCCTACGGCGGCGCGTGGACCACACGCGCAGTTGGAGCGGCACGTGTGGGGGGCAGAACACCGGCAGGGGTCGTCGGTCCCTGCAGAGGCCGCCGGTGAGGCCTGTTTTCTCAAAGTGTGGCCGGATCTAGCGGAATCGGCTGGGCGGCGCTAGGGTTTCCAACAGTTAACTGCACTTGTGTGTAAAGAGAGTGGTTGGGGGGGCTGATTTGTGGTGTGAGGTCGGTTATGTGGTGCCTACCGGTCAGTTGGTCGTCGGCGCCGGTAGTGTGGTGGTGTGGTGGCTGGGTTAGTTTGGATTGTGGGGAGAGCTCCATGGGGGGAAAGGTTCACCTTAAAAGAGAAAAATGTAAAAGTTTGTTTATAGACATGTTTGGATAATTATTATTTTTCTTTCTTTTAACAAATAAGTTATTTTTTAAAATAGCTCTTACATAACTTATTTATTTTCAACTTTAACCAATAAAAAATTATTTATTTTTAATGGTACTTGTTTACTTATAAGTAAAATTTAAAGCTCATCCAAACATGCTCACTTAAATTCTCCTTGTAATTTCTGCTTCACAGTATAGTCATGTTAAAATTTTCATGCAACTTTGTCTATTTTAATGTCATTGTCCTTATTTTCTATTTTCATGTGGTTCATGGCTATTCTCTTTGGATTTTATGTAGAGAAGCAAATTATCCACAGAGATGTGAAGTCCTCGAATGTTCTTTTGACTGACAGCATGAGAGCCAAAGTTGCAGATTTCGGGTTTGCAAGGATAGGTGAGATGGACTCTGAGAAAACATATGTTTCAACCCAAGTAAAGGGCACAGTTGGTTACCTTGATCCAGAGTATATGATGACATATCAACTCACATCGAAGAGTGATGTATTCTCATTTGGGGTACTGTTAATAGAAATTTTAACTGGTCGTCGACCTTTGGATTTGAAGAGACCACTCAATGACAGGGTGACAATTAAATGGGTAAGCTTTTCACTCTTTATACTTGACAAGATTATTTGCATTAGTCATTATGTAAAACCTGTGTTACGTGGAGAATATGAACCAATAAGTCTTCATCATATTTCTGTTCTGATACTTGACTTCATTATTGGGAATTTGGGATGCTTGTTTTCTTACATGTAAACGATTTCTTACTGTCATTTGAGAAAGCAGAAAGAGGGGGACAACTGAAGAGAAATAAGCAAAGAGATGATTTGCAAAAGAATATATTACAAGGGTTTTGGCTATAAATGCAATTTAAATCTGTAGTTAATGAACTGACTGCCTACCCTCTTGGGGATTCATCGTTGCAAAGTCATGGCGAATGATTTATTATTGTTTGAGCTGTTATCCTTTTAAGCTTAATTTCCGAAATTTAAATCTTTTCTTAAGGTTATTTTTTCAGAAAAGTTCCTACAAACCCACCCCGCCTGGCCATTTCCGTATTTTCATGAAGACTTTATGTATTTTCCCCGCTTCTCTTTAATGTACTAATTATGTCATAAACCAACCCAGTCCCCCAAAAACAGAACATACGACCAATGTGCATCCATATTCCATAGTTCCCTCGAACTAAGTCTTTGAACCAGCTAATATGGAATAAATGGCTGGTTTCAGTTTAATTTTTGAATAAAGAAAAGATTCGTGGAACTCATCATACACAATGTTTATATAGGCTTTCAGGATGTATAATGAAGGCAAAGTTTTGGAGATTTTAGACCCTATGATGAAGGAAACAGTAGATAAAGAAATACTGGCGAAAATGTTTGGTTTGGCCATCCAATGTGTGGCACCTACACGAACTGATCGTCCAGACATGAAATCAGTTGCAGAGCAGCTCTGGGGAATTAGAATGGACTACTCGAGAAGCGGAAGGAGAGATTGACGGGTGAGCATTGAAAACAATGTTTATACGGTGTTGCTATGGTTTTCTATTCAATCATTATTCTTTATGAACAAAGGACAAATGAGTTAGAACACATCTTTCTTGATGGATACTAGCTTGTGCTAACAATATGAATCGAAGAATTAAGTTGTTTGTAATTGCATTCTTTTTGTCGTCTTCTTTCACTTCCCTTCAACATTTTTGGGTTACTTTTCTAATTCATGGATAAGGGTGGGAGCGCCAACTTTGCATTTTCATGCAATTCCTGCAGTATGCCATGAGAATTTCTTGTAAAGAGAGGAGATTATCAATGATTCGACAGTACTATATTGTTTATATTGCTTGGCATTAGTAACATTATTTGCTTAAACTATCCCTCTATGGTGCTGCATTTTCCCTCTGCTAAACAGTAATTCTCAATATGCTTCTATTGAATGATTTGGAACATAAAAGAATTGTTTCACTAACAATGAATTCACGGTATTTGAGACGACTTTTTGTGGCTTTTGGTCTTTTTAATTGGACTGGATTTGACAGTATAATATTAAGAGAGACAAGTGATAAAATTTAGGGTTTTTCTCCTTGTACAGTCCACGTCGGATTGGACAAGGTACAACCTCCTCACAGAAGGGGCCCCCTCATGTGAGGGGGATGTGAACGGTGCTATGTGCACAGCACCGTCCTAAAATTTGAGTTATTTTGGGATAACGGAACCGTCCTAAAATTTATGAGTTGTTCATGGTATTCCAAAATGGGCTTTTTTTCATTAGTTGTTCTGATCTCATTTTATACCTGCTATTTGAGATTGTTCCTTGGATAATAGCCAATGAGCCATATATTTTTTTTATATTAGACAACAGTTTTCTTTTATGTATCTTAATTGTTGGGCTAAAAAATTTGTCATTCACTATGGAGCAGTGCTAGCGCTGTACACCAAGCCTCATAGCCCCCTCACATGAGGGGGCTCCACATTATACACACAGACATTTCCTTCACTATGAGATGTCTTCCAACACGGCCCCCACAAGTCCAGTCCATGTTGACCAGCATTAATGGTGAAACATGCTCTCAATGTAATAAGAACCGAAATAGAACTGTTGTTGTTGACTTAAAAAATCACATCAGATGAATCGAGAGCTTCCTTTGACTTGGTTGAAAGAGTCTCCCTACCAAAAAGTCCAAACAGGTCAACTTGACACTTTGACCCAATATCCCAACAGAAGTCGAAGTCAAACTATGAAAGACGTCATATATCGTATGACCCCGTAGAGAAAGTGCTCCTCTATGACAATAGCACCAACAACTCTACCAATTAGGAAGATGACTTGATGGCTTAGGTACAAGCCTAAAGCCTAAATGTCATCATAACTTAGTTTCAATCGAACTCACACCAATCGAATTTTTTCAAACGAGGAGTTGCACACAATCCTAAGTCACGACTATTATTGCTTAAGATAATTAGGACACTAAGCTTTAGTCCATCATCCTATATAAAGGGACAAAAGGTGAATGAGAAGGGATCCAAACCTAAAAAATCTCTCTTTACAATTACTAAACTCCGAGATTATAATATTTTTGTTCAGTTAAATCTATATATGTTGATCAAAAAATGTCGTGTTATTTTTTACCATTGACAAGAACAACTAATTGAATCAAAGAAATCGAAATTTAGTTCAATTAATGTTAATAAAAGAAAAAAAAAACAGAACTTTAGAATAGATTGAACTAATACTTTTTTATGCTAAAATTTGTTTTCATTTAACCCATGTTTGGTGGAGACTAAAATCAAATCTTTAGCAGATTTTTATAAATGTTGATGAAATGGGTTGTCAAAAAATTCTTGGTTTCCATAAAATGTGTGATTAAAATTAATTCTTGACTTTGATTTAAATTAAAATCATGATTTTAATTTATATAAAGCGGGGGCTTAATTTATGAATTTTGCCGGAGTACCCGAAAATGTTCGACCAATGGGGTGACATCCTCACACATTGCCGCGGGTGCCATTTGAATAAAAAAATGCCGACCTCCTATGTATGTGTGTATTTGGTCAAGTCCTATGTCATCGCCTTTGTTGCTGTAGATTTGTCCTTAATTTACAAGCCAATTTTCAAAACAATTACCTCTCAAATGATCGAGAGAGGGTAGCAGTGTACGACACCCTTTAAAATTATACCCCTTGTTGGAGCCCCATTTTTATCAAAAAAATGAATTTTTGAATAGTGTATTGACGGAAAATGTGTTGTTAAAAAATAAAGAAAAGTTTTAGGTCTGCTTGTAATATTATTTTATTGAAAAATGTGTGGTTGAAATGTGGTCAAAATACTATTAAAGAATTTATTTATTTTTTTCAAAAAATGGGGCTTAAACAAGGGTTGATATATATTTTTTTCTTCTCTTTTCAATTACACATTTTTCAATAAAATAATATCATATGTAATAAAAAATTTCTTTCTTTTTAATCATACATTCTCCCAAAAACTACTATTCCATAATATATTTTACCAAAATTTCCCATTATAATGGGTGTCAAACAAGGGCTACGAGTAACAAATAATTATTCTTTTCAAACATTTTTTTCTCATATTCATTTTCAATTACACATTTTCAAAATGAAATATTCTTCATATAAAGCTAAAATTTTCTCTAATTTTTAATCACATATTCTCCCAAAAATTTAAGATTTGTTATTCAAAAATTTGGTCTTTCCAAAAAATTCTTTCAAACAGGGGTAACTTTTTTCGCATTTATTTACTATTTTAAAATGCATTCTAAACCAAAAAAGGGACTCAAACGACCTTAGTGTTGGTATGTTGGACTAGCCCGACCTAACTTATTTTTTCAATAAAAAAATAACTTTTTGTAATGTAAAAAAACTACGTGAACATTTTGTATATATTAGTTGAATTATGCTACATATACAATCAAGTTTGACAATTTTGGTTAACAACTTATACTTGGCAATATCACATTCATCCATTTCAAATTTATTTATTTATTTATTTTTAAATCAATGGCTTGAATTTTGACAAAATCAACATTATCAACTATTATTATCAAGCATGATTGTACTAATAGATTAATTCATATTAGTACGATATAAAAAATCGTTCCCCTTACTCATAAATTTGACACGTTTATTTGACAAATAATCATGACATTTAATTCAAATAAAACCAATGCTCAATATGTATTTCACTAAGATCATGTGAGAATTTGTTATGACAACTTGAGATCCATAAACTATTGAGTGTTGAATTAACTTAAATTAAAAGTCATGATTATTTATCAAATAAGTATGTCAAATTTATGAATAGGAGAGACAGTTGTCTAATTCTAATTCCTACATCATCAACTCTTTGCATCCAGAAACAGCCTTCATAGAAAGCTTACAGAATTCTCACTTAAAGGTGGACCCATATGAATATTTTGTTGAAAAAAAAAAAAAAAATCACCCCATGCTTTGTAATATCTAGAGGGGATCCGTGGCCCCTCCTTTTGTACATATAGTCTGCCTCATCCGATATATTGTGCATTACAACAATGCCTCTTGTACACTGCTGTGCACAACTTTTTGAAATTTTTGGTCACGTGACCACTTAAAATTGGTGGGAAAGTCATATTTGTCTTTTACACTGTTGAATATTCTAAACAGCAGAGGGTAACTAGGTTTTGTTGTCCCTTGCACACAGGGAGGTAAAAATCAGAGAAAAACACTTCGAAATTTTCCACCAAAATTTGGACAAAAATCGGCGAACTGAGTGCGGGATTGAAGGTAAGAACTTGTTCCACCAAAATATATTCCGTCCACATGCTTCCTTCGTTAACCCGAGCATTAAACCTTTCGATTCACCTAAGAGTTTCGGCTGAAGGAGACCGCGACGATGCAACGAAACTAGTTTCTTCTGACGGGGATTCAGCTACTTCACTTGTGATAGGTAATTATTTTGATGAGGAACATTACCCATTTCGACACAAAATGCTGCAGATTTTCACTGTAGATTATTCTCACTGTAATGATTTGAAAATTAGGAATGTTACCCATTTCGACATCTTCTTTTATCCGGAACAGAGTAAAAAATATTATGTTTGCATTGGAATTATTATTATTATTTTATTTTTTAAATTAGTGTCCATTAAGATCATATTGTCGAAAATGTGTACAGAATCTGGAAACAACTTGGTGGCATAGGGATGGAAGGAATGACGGAGAAAGGTAATGTCATTGTAATTTTTTGAAGATGCACTATTTCGAAACCTATGCATTTTCACTGCTTGGGCAACTTTATTGTTTCATTTATAATATTATTGAAGCAAGATTTCCTTGAACATTTGATCAACACTCAAAATTCATATTGTCATTCAATATGATGTAGGAAAAAAAGTTGTGGAAGTATTGGACGATGAAGTTTAGTAGAATCCAATAATGACAACAATATGGAGAATATCGTCAACAATACAGACAATTTCGTCACATTAGACGATGAAATTTTAGGAGGAATGGCGTAATTGTGCCTAAAGTTGGTATGGAGTTCAAAGATGAGAAAGAGGTGTCTGAGTTTTATAGGAGGTATGCGTATGACGTAGGTTTTTGGGTTAGGAGGAGGAATTCTAGAAAGGGAGAAGATGGAGTAGTGAATTACGTTACGTTGACATGTTGTCGTGAAGGTCGAAGAAGCAATAATACAAGTGCTTCTTTGAAGCCGCATCCAACAATTCAGACAGGTTGCAAAGCAAGACTTACGGCTTCTTTAGATATTCGTGGAATATGGAAAATTCTCACAGTTGATCTCAAACACAATCATAAAACTAGTCCTTCAAAATCTATATTGTATCGTTGCAATCGAGAATTGAGTGCAAATGTCAAACGCAAGCTCGAAGTAAACGATATGACTGGAATACCTCTGCACAAGAGTTACAACTCAGCAGTGTTTGAAGCGAGCGGGTATGAGAACATGACTTGCGTGGAAAAGGATTGTCGAAATTATGTTGGACGAGCGAGACAATTGAGACTCGGTGAAGGGGATGCCGCGGCAATACACTCCTACTTTTCACAAATGCAAGCATAGTGCCTAAGTTTTTACTTCTGTATGGATTTAGATGAAGAGTTACGGCTTAGGAATCTTTTCTGGGCAGATAAGAGGTGTTGGCAAGCGTATAAGGAGTTTGGGGATATAGTGACATTTGATACCACTTATCTCACAAATAAATACGACATGTCTTTTGCCCCATTCGTTGGAGTAAATCATCATGGACAATCAACACTCCTTGAATGTGGTTTGCTGGCAAATGAAGATACAGATACATTTGTTTGGCTATTCAAGACGTGGATGCAGTGTATGCATGGTCAAGTACCAAATGGAATTATTACCGATCAAGATAGGACTATGCAAAATGCAATTGCGATAGTCTTTCCAAACACGAGGCATAGATGGTGTTTGTAGCATATATTGAAAAAGTTGTTGGAGAAGTTTGGGTACCACGTTCGGAAGGGCTCCATTTTTTCGTCTATACACGGCTTAGTGTATGATACACAGGTCGTTGAGGAATTCGAAGAAGGTTGGAAAGCTATGCTTGATACCTATGACTTACATGAGAATGATTGGTTGTCGGGGTTGTTTGAGAACAGGGGTTGTTGGGTGCCATGTTATTTGAAAATAACCTTTTGGGCGGGGACATCGAATGTTTTGTTCAAATATCCCAGTGAGTATAGTCTTTCCAATTTGTATTTACATGTTTCTAAATGTGTATTTATCATATGTCCAAATTTTTCATGTTTATGTTAGGGAATAATATGCCATACTATTGTCCCAATTTGTCGTACAATGTTGGAACACAATTGAAATGACACCATCCGCAATGGGTGTTTTTCCTCTTGGATTTCATGGTGTAAGTAGTGTAACTTTTCTCCTTACAAATAGTTAATTTCATATGATTCTCCAGTGTACTTGCAATAACAACATGCTAAATGTCATTTCAGACATTGCCTTCACCACCCAACATAGCAGATTGGATGTCCAGTCCCGCCCAGACCATTCCACATGCTACTATTGCTGGAGGTCGCTGTACTCTTGTTCAGAATCCGAGTTCAGGAATGGATCATCAAGATCATGCAAATGATATTGCAATAAAATCTCAAGACGCTGGTTCATCAAGGGGACTACTATTTAATTCCTACAATGTAACTTAATAGGTTGGCAAATGAATTTTTTGTACATTTTATTTTTGTTTTGTTGGGCTCCCTGCAAAAAAGTATCCTTCATATTCTGAAGTCTTTTACTTTTCTTATGTTTCATATTCTGAAGTCTCGTAGTTTTCTTTCCAAACATAGGAACTTGACGACTATATGTGTTTTACCGCTAGGCTTCAACTTTTGGATATTTATGTTTGCCTATTTCTGTCAACTTTTTACTTAACATTGAAGTTCTTATAGCTATCAAGATGACTCTTGCATTATATATGACAGCAACAATGTTAGACCATATGCTCTCTTTCTAATGCAATGTTTCTTATTATGTGCATCCCACGTTCGGTTGCAATTAACAGAGACAAAAATTGCATTGAAGGTAATGACAAAAATTACCAATTCACTATTTGGGCAATGACAGGTTATATGTACAGAAAATAATGCACCATAAATATAAAACATGAATCTGAAATGGAAACACTAAGAGTTGACATAATTGGCTGGAAGAAATAGATAAGTACTTCATTAAGATTACGGACAAAATACAAGAGAGTTGACACCTTGAGAAGCTCGTTGAACATCAATGCAATTTTTTTCAAGATCAAATTACATATGACTACCAGCATATCATACATAAACACTTGAACAACAATTCTCAAGAGTCATTTTTGTCATCACCATCCTAAACCATCTTAATACACGACATATTCAGTTTTCCTTCTCCAAATCTTGTTTTCCTTTACGCATATTTATTTTGAGCGAGATCTTCAAGTCTTTTTCATCAGTTAGCTTAGCGAGCGTCTTTAACATTTACGACAAATCATCCACCTGTTCACCTCCATTTCTAATACCACATGATTCACCATCATCATGCAACAGACACTTTCGTCAAGGGATTTGTTACACCACTTGAAGTACCTAAAGTCGTTAGTGCAACAATGGAACAATAGCCCTTTATGGTCATTGTTCTTTCCAACCTCCATCCATTTGATGAAACTCAAACCAAAATTTGGACAGCTTCTCTTTCTCGGGCATTCTGGTAGCATATGTCCCCTTTGTATACAACAATGACATATTCCATAATTCTTGCTTGCCATCGACCAAGTCTACTTCAACCACATCAACATGAAAACATATCATTCTCACAAAACATGCATTTTCTTCGAACTATAGTAAACAGACTTTTAGCAAACTTATTTACATCACAAACATGACTTAAATGTTGAATTCATGTAATGTAGGTGATTCTATGGAAATAGTGGAATTCAGGAGAAAAGACCCGAAAAAGGACCAAATTGGAGCAAAATGAAAATTCAGGGACCAAATTGCAATTATCTGAAAGTTGATCCGACGAACACATCAAGCAATTGATCAAGCTAAGCACCAATTGGAAGTTATAATAGAACATTGGAGCAACTAGAAACAAGAGAGGAGGTCAAGGAGTGAAGGAATGACACTTGAGGATCATAATAACTCAATTTGGAAGTTCACTCTACTATGCGGTCGCATAGTAGAAAAGCTATGCGGTCACGAGTAACCCTCCAGAGATTAAAAACGCCAAAATCCATATTCCTATGCGATCGCATAGGTTATGCCTATGCTGTCGCATATGTATAATTTGTGCCCGATTTTTGCAGTTTCCTTATATAATTGCAACTCCTCTGGTAACCTAATTTCGACGGGTTTAAATAGCAAAAAAACGTCCAGAAGCCAAGAGGAACGAATTGGGAGGTAAAAACATTCATTTTGGAAAGGATTTGAAAGCAAGAACAAGGATTGACGCGAAGATTTACAAGATTTCTTCAGGATTTCTTTAAGTTTTGATAATCCGGTGATGTATTTTATTCAAAACTTGATAGATTTCATTATTTTTATCATGATAGGCTAGATTTTTGTAACTAGGTGATCGATGAACCATGTAATTATTATTAAACCTGTTATTTCATGACTTTGAATTCATAGTTCGATGGGATTATTTGAATGAATTATATTGATTTATTTGTTTCCACAATTAATGTGCACTTAATTTGTGTGAATTTGGTGGTTTAATTCTAAATTTGAGAAAATTGGATTAAACTCGACATATATAATTCATCATAGGGTCCGATAGGGGATAGAAATATACCCCTATGCCCTATGTAAATCTTTAATTGCTCACAAAAAAATACATGTGTTCTTGTATAATTGCATCTGTCATAGAAATATATGCTGGTGATTTATGAGAATAGGTTCAATACATCTCGAGAGAGAGTATTGAATAGATTTAGGAGCATTGAATTGTCAAATTCTCATTGGATTATCAAAATTGTGAAATTAGGGTTTACTTAATAATTATTTGGGGATTCGTGATCCTAGTTCATTCGTTTTACATAGATTTTTATAAATTGACAATACATTTCATTTATTTTCATAACATTTTGTAATTGAGTCATTCGTTATGTGAATTTGAGTAATTAGGGTTCTTCAATTTGGGGATTTCTCCCAAAATTAGGGCTTTTAATTCTAAAATTCATTTTAAGTCAATTAGTTTCGGTTAAGGCTAAAATAAATAAAATTGAACTACTCTTTCCCTATGGGATGATACTCGGACTTCTAAAATCCACTTTATTACTTGTCACGACCCGTACACTTGCGGTAATTTAAATCGAAAAAAATATTTCGTAAACGAGTTTGTGGCGCCATTGCCGGGGATTGAATTTAGTTGAATTTTATTTCTCGAGGCACTAATTCGAAATTCAATTTTTTTTAATTTGCTAGTATAATTTTGTTTTTATTTTTATTTTAGGTCATTATCTTTTATTTTTGTTTTAGTTATTTAAATTGTTAGAACTTCAGTGCTCGCTCTGGTTTATTTATCAGATTTGCATGTCACGATTACCTGGAGGAGAATTGATTCCAGCTGATCCTGAAATCGAGCGTACCTTTCACTGACGACAAAGAAACCACCGCGAAGCACTAATACAAATGGCCAATGAAGTAAACAATCTCATGATTCATGCTAACGAAGGAAAGGCAATGTACGAGGGGAATGAGATTCTGGGGGATTTCTTGACTCCTCAAGTGATTCAAAGCCAGTCCAGCATAGTGTATCCACCGTTTGGGCAACCTAATTTTCAGTTGAAGACCAATGTGATACGGCTGTTTCAAAATGGACACCAATTTTATGGCAAGGCTGAGGAGAACCCACACACACACGTATCTTGCTTTTTGGATATGTGTCAACATTTCAGATACCAAGGAATTTCGGACGACGCTATTAGATTGAGGCTATTTCCACATACTTTACGAGACAGAGCAGTTGAATGGTTGGATTCATTTTCGGTCGCAAGTATCACTACATGGAATGAGTTGGCACATAAATTCTGCACAAAGTTTTTCTCCCCAGCCAAGATAGCGAAGCTGAGACATGACATATCAGTGTTCAGTCAAGGAGAAATCGAATCATTTGACGAAGCTTGGAACCGGTTTAAAAACATGCTTCGGAAGTGCCCTCAACACAGGTTTGACAAAAAGACCCAAATTCGATTCTTCTACATAGGACTACTTCCTTATCACAAGAGCATGGTGGATTCAGCATCAGATGGCTCAATATCCACACGAACAGTTGATGGGGCATTGGAATTATTTGAGAGAATGGCTACCACATCAGCCATGTGGTCTTCTGAGAGGGCGATCCCAAGGAAAACTCCAGGTGTCTACGAAATGGATGCTTATTCAGCAATATCAGCAAAAATAGATTCTCTATACCACAAGGTGGAAACCATATCACAAGCAGCACAAGTTAAGAAGAACAATTGTGAAGAATGTGGAGCTGAACATAAGACATCAGAATGCCCTATACTAATGCAAGGAATTGAGCAAGCAGACTATGCACAGTGGGGA